CAAAGAACATAAAAGATAAGAAAGGATAAACAGCCTATGAGCCATTCGGCCCATCTTCTCTACACTCCCCCTCAAGCTGAGCATAGATGTCAATCATGCCAAGCTTGCCAGTATCATGCTGAAGTTTAGCCTTGGGAATGCCCTTGGTGAGAAAATCTGCTAACTGTCCTTCAGAGGTGATGAAAGGTAGACATACTTCACCAAAAGCCACTCTTTCTCGAATGAAGTGTCTGTCAACTTCAATATGTTTAGTTCTGTCATGTACTGGGTTGTGAGGAATGTTGATGGCGGCCTGATTATCACAGTATAACATCATTGGCTTATCATGCTCAATCACCAATTCCTCCATCAATGATTTTAACCACAATAGTTCATAAACTCCATGCGCCATGGCTCTGTATTCTGCTTCTGCTGAAGATCAAGCAACAACAGATTGTTTCTTGCTTCTCCAAGAGACGATATTACCAGCCACCAAGCTGCAGTACCCAGAAGTAGATCTTTTGTCATCAATGTTTCCAGCCCAGTCAACATCTGTATAGGCTTCAAGTTTCATATGGCCATGCTTGGAAAACAGAATTCCCTTTCCAGGGGAGTCCTTCAAATAACACAGGATTCGCTCTGCTGCTGCCATATGAGTATCCCGGGGAGCATGCATGAATTGGCTGATGCAACTGATAGCATATGCAATGTCTGACCGAGCCATGCATTGATAAAGAAGTTTTCCAAGGAGTCTCTGGAAGACTCCTTTATCTTCTAACAATATTCCATCTGAAGCAAAGAGTTTATGACTCGTATCAATAGGAGTAGCAGCTGGTCTAGCACCCATCTTCCCTGTTTCAGAGAGCAAATCAAGAACATATTTCCTCTGAGAGATAAGAATCTCATCTTTGGATCTACCAACTTCTATGCCAAGGAAGTATCTCAATTACCACAGATCTTTGATCTCAAACTCTGTATGAAGGAAAGATTTGAGATCATTAATTCCTGAAACATCATCAGTCACAACAATATCATCAACATGCACAATCAGGTAAATTGCCAGGAACCCTCTCCTCTTCATAAAGAGAGTATGATCAGACTGTGTCTGTACATAGCCAAAGTTAACAAGGGCAGCCCTAAACCTCTTAAACCATGCTCTAGGGGACTGTTTTAGTCCATAAAGAGATCTCTTCAGCTTGCATACCTTTCCTTTCATATCTGTTTCATACATCCCTGGAGGAAGAGACATATAAACCTCCTCATGTAATTCTCCATTTAGAAATGCATTCTTTACATCCAATTGATAAAGTGGCCAGTCAGAGTGAGCAGCCAAAGATAGAAGAACTCTCACAGAAGTCATCTTGGTAACAGGGGCAAAGGTCTCCAGATAATCAATCCCATATGTCTGTGTATAACCTTTTGCAACCATCTTAGCCTTGTACCTCTCAATGGTGCCATCAGCATGATATTTGATAGTAAATACCCACTTACAGCCAACTGGATCCTTCCCTTCAAGCAAATCAACCACTTCCCAAGTGTCATTCTTGTGCAAGGCATCAATTTCGAATCTCATAAAATCCCTCCATTCTGGAATATTAAGAACTTCTGACATAGACCTGGGAATTGAGTTAGAGGCAACAGAAGAAAGGTAGGCACAATATGAAGGAGAAAGCAAACTATAAGAAAGGTGTTTGGAAATGCAATGTGCARTACGCTTCCTTTTTCCTTTCCTAATAACAATGGGGATATCAAGGTCTGGGAAGGATGGCTCCAAAGGGGCTGAAAYAGTACCTGTTGTCTCATCTGTAACTGGAAGTGCATGAGGCTCATGTGTTGTAGGGGAAACAACCTGCTCATTTCTAGATCTTTGCCTTTGATACATCCTAGGATTAAAGAGAGAACGGGGAGGTAAAGGGGGAGGAACACTTGGACAGGAAGAGTGGAATGATTGATCCTCCCTTGATCCTCCCCCTTTGGACAATGTCCCTCCATAGAGGAACCATAAAAGGAAGAAAGTTCATCAAAGGTGACATCCATTATGACATATCGAGTACTAGTCTTTGGATCAAAGCAACAGTAACCCTTCTGTGTGGGGGAATAACCAAGAAAGATACACTTGTGGGCTTTTGGTTCAAATTTATGTCTTTGAACACTAGGAATATGTACATAACAGGTGCAACCAAAGACACGAAGAGGAATAGAAAAAAGCTCATTGTCCGGATGAACGAGACTGAAAGGAGACTTAAACCCAAAAACCCTAGATGGCATATAAGGTAGGTAGCAGTGAGAACAACATTACCCCAAAACTTTGTAGGAACATGTGAGGCAAACAAGATACTTCTTGCAACTTCAACAATATGTCTAATTTTTCTTTCAGCAACTCTATTCTGTTCTGGGGTCCTAACACAGAAGCTTTGATGAATAACCCCTAAGTCAAAGAGATAGCAGGACAAGTTCTTCTCAAAATATTCTTTTGCATTGTTAGATCTGAAAATTTTAATCCTGGTATCAAACTAGGTTAGGACAAATTCATGGAATTGCCTCACAAGTCTGGGAACTTCATCACGGGATTTCATCAGGAATATCCAAGTAAACCGAGAAAAGTCATCAATGAACAAGAAAAAATATTTGTAGCTACCCATAGAGGGTAAGTGGTAAGGCCCCCACACATCAGAGTGCACAATATTAAAAGGAGAAGAAGATCTTTTATTACTCAAGGGATAAYTGTTTCTACAATGCTTTGATAGCTCACAAGACTCACAATGAAAACTGGACAAACTAATTCCCTTAAATAGTTCAGGGAATAAATGACTCAATGCAGAAAAAGAAAAATGACCCAAACGAAAATGACATAGCATGACTCGACTGATAGACTCTATAGATATAGACCCAAAAGCAACTTTTCTAGGTTGTTCAGGGCACTGTCCGGGAGTATCAAGCAGGTATATTCCATTCGCCTCATGGCCACTCCCAATCACCTTCTGAGACTCCATATCCTGAAAAACACAATAGGAAGGGAAGAAGGTTACACAGCAGTTTAATGACTTAGTTAGACTACTTATAGATAACAAGTTTGTATTTAGTCTAGGTACATGAAGAGCAGAAGGTAGGAACAAGGAATCTATAGCCTTGATGATTCCCTTGCCGGAGATAGAGGCAAGAGAACCATCGGCTAGGGTGATTTTGTCACGTCCAGGAAGTAAATCATATGAAACAAACAAGGTAGAAAGGTTGGGCACTGAGGAGGCAGTAGGATTTGAATTGGGTCCAACTAAGCCCAGGTTCCTCCTGTTCCAATCGATAGAACCAGAGTTGTGCCTCTTCCGTCAAGTGGAATGCAGCTACGCTAACCTTGTCTCTGTCCTTCGTCCGCTGGTTGCGAAAGAACTGTTCACATCGGTAAAGCCACCCCAAAGGGTCTCCGGTGCCGTTGTAAGAAGGGAACTCTAGTCTGCTGTACTTGGGAACGACCGCGGCTACCGGGGCGACGACCTGTTGTTCATCGGACGACTCCGTCAAGTCTGGTCGGCGGCTGTTTGTGGTTGCCGCCCCTTCCGGATTCCTTTCCTTGTTAGAGAAATACAAATCCATCAAGCGTCGTAACTCTCGGACATCGTCCTTGATTTTGCATACCTCCGTGCTGTTCTCCACGAGCCTGTGCTCCAGTTCGTGGACCCTGGACGTCAACTGCTCCAGATCGTCCATGACGTTTGGCTCTGATACCAAATTGTTAAGGGCCCGCGAATAGGATCTCGTCACGGGGAAAACCTCCTGTTTTCCCTTGTTCCTCCCTTTTCTTGAGGAACCTATCTTGGCGCCTTAATGGTGATTTGTTCAAGAGATCACCAACTCTCCTTGCTCTTTCTTGACTGAAATTTTTGATGATTTTATTCAATATTCTCAGCTCCTTAAATAGGAGATTACAAGAGATAAGAGTCCTCCTTATAGGAAGACTCCCTGCTAATCTATACCACTTACAGATAAGATAGATAAGACTCCCTACTTAAGATAGATAAGACTCCCTAAGATAGATCAGACTTCCTACTAATCCTTATTGAAAACAGATAAGATAAGATGGACTGTACTAGCTAGAATCCGATGAGAACACCAAATCACTGCTGCTGTCGGCGGCGATATTTCTTCCCAATAAACGCGTCCATATCACCTTTCTTGTTTTCCTCTTCAGTTTGTCCAGTTTGGTTTCCCATTAGACAGTTTGTCATGTTTTGGCAACCACAGAAAAACACAAGATCCCTTGAAACATTACCACTTGTGTCTGATATTTTCATTACCAATAGCAAATTCACGATCACCCGTCAATAACAAAACACCCAGATATTTGGTCGCCCCAAAATTCAACAAAGAAATGCCCCAGAGATTAACATAAATCAACAACAACAACGACGACTGCGACGATAATAAGATCTAATATATCAAGAACATTAAAAAAAAGGAAAATGGAAACCAAAATGGAGCTAACTCAAAACTACTTTAGTAATTTCATCTATATTTTTGTGTAGTGGTTTTTGTGTTCGTTTTTTCTTTTTTTGGTTCTCTGTGTTGTTCTGTTTCTTGTTCATCTAAAATTCAAAAGGAAATAAATGAAAAAACAAAGGAAGGTAGTAGAATTACCTCTTCCTCGTTCCACTCAAACATTTCTGAAGAAGACGTACCAAATCTCTTTGCCAAAATCCAGTACCACAGCACCTTCGCAATCCGACTCGAACATCGCCGAACCCACAGATATTAACAGAAACCAATCTTCTTCTTCTCGATCCAGAAACTAAAACGGCCGAATTTGGACACAGAAATCACAAATAAAAACATGAACAGGCGCAGGAACACAGAACGCAGTAGGTTTTTTTTTTCGATTTGCACGGTAAAACTGTTAACAGAGGTTTCCAGAGAAGCTTAGAGTTGTGAGAGAGGGGGTGTGGATCGAGTTGAAGGCAGTGCCACGTGGCAGAAGTGGGCAGAAGTGATTGGGTAGAGATAATGGTAATTCCATATGCCACGTGGAGTGGCATATCTCATGTTGTGGTCTAAAATAGTCGATCTATTACTGCCACCTGATTGGCTGGACTTGGATTTGAATTTCATTTGGAGTGAATTTAGTGGGCATTTGGACTTCATTTGGAATTCTCATTTGGAGTGCCGGGTGGAACACTGAAAAGTTAGAAGTTGGTGGTTGGCGTTGTTTTGCTGGTCGCTGTCTCTGTCTAGGTTCGGCGAATTCCACGTGATAGCTCTTATCTTGCTTTGCCACTTGACAGAGGGACCTAACACACCAAAATCTGACAATCAAGCGGTATTGCTCGGCATCTGTAGGGGATGTAAATGGGTCTAGCCGAATTTGGACACGGTCGTAACCGAATCCGTTTTAACATAAATCTTGTGAGCGACTGGAACAGCTTGACTTGAGTTGATTTTAAATAAATTACTATATAAGGGTCCGTTTGATTCGTAGTCCGAATCGGAATCGAAATTCTTTGAAATCGAAATTAAAATGGTCCATTATTATATTCTGTTTGGTTTAAATAGGAATGAGAATGGGAATTAAAATCTCTTAAATGGGGATTTCATAAACCATTTGAGCAAAGTATTGTGAAACTCGAACTTAGCTCAAGTAATTATTCAACCCGAGTTGAGTTCAACTTGAACTCAATGCGAACTGAATTCAAGTATTTAGTTAGTGAGCTCAAATAGCTCATGAATAGGCTTGGCTCTCTTACACCCCAAGGCTATACCATTTCTATTCGGTATAGTAGATTCCCCCATCCCATTTATGTCAAATTCGAATCAAATTGGGTTTGATTGGACATTTTATTGATCAAAATATAATATAGTTAATAAAGGAGGCATTTTACAAGTCTTTGCATGTGGTTGTTTGGGCTTTTTAAAGCTTGGAAGACTAAAATTTTGGACTTTCTTCAGCAATGGAAAAAGGGAAGTCATAAAGGCCTATGCCCTAAAAAGCTCATGAAAGCCTAAAATGGCCAAAATTTTGGAATTTTCAAATGGAACTTCTTGTCTTTCTAGACCTCAAAGCTCAAGGACATTTGGCAAGTCTTTTCATGTGGTCTTTTGGTCTTTTTAAAGCTTGGAAGACCAAAATTTGATATTTCTCCATTTGACAATGAAAAATAAGAAGCCAAATAGACCTCTGCCCTAAAAAGTTCATAAAAGCCCAAAATGGCCAAATATCTAGAAGCTTAAAATCAAGTTTTTTTTTTTTTTTTTGTCTTTCTACATCTAAAGTATTTCATGTAACAACTTTGTAGACCATGGTAGATAAGCATACTTACCAAATGATATAGATCTTTAAAGAAAATACCCCAAAAACTCATCACATCTTTTGGCCACCTAAGCTATTGGAAGATCTTCATAAAAGACTTGACAAACAACACCAAAGTGATTTTCAAAAAAAAAAAAAAAAAACACCAAAGTGAACTAAAAATAACTTTAATATTATATACATACATATATATATGTATATATATATATATAAACAAAGCGGTCAAGAAATTTTCTCCTTTTATTTTGAATTTTTTGTTTTTTTATTCCATGTCATTTTTGAAACAGCCAATGACATGCACTTTCCCAATAACCTAAATAATCTCTTCTCCTAAAATTTATCCTAAACTACCTCCCCCACTTTCTCCACAATTATCCCTAATTCCTATTTATCCTCTCCCCTACTTTTTATCTATATCTATCTAAAGAAAGTTTGGATTAAAAAATTTAAGAATTATTTAAATATTATAACAAAATTATATAATAACTAAAATATTTATTAAAAACATAAAAAAATAATTTTATATTTTTACTAAATATATCATGAAATTATGTACTAACAATTTAAATTATGTTTTTCTGGGTTACCAATTTAAATGCTCCTTAAATATTTAATAATATGTAATAGCTTTAAATAAATAAAATTCAAATAACAAAAAAAATTAAATATTTTATATATTATTTAAATAACTAAATATTTATCATAATTATATTTCAAATAGTTAAAATAACGAAATTATCTAATAAATAATTTTATATTTTTGCAAAATATATCACAAAATTATGTACTAACAATTTAAATTATGTTTTGTCAGATCATCGATTTAAATATTTTTCAAACATTTAATAATATGTAATAGCTTTAAATAAATAAAATTCAAATAACAAAAAATTTTAAATATTTTATAGATTATTTAAATATTTAAATAACTAGATATTTATCATAACTAGATTTGAAACAGTTAAAATAACGGAATTATGTAATAAATTAAAAAAAATTAAAGCAGAAAGATAATTATAACATAATATTTAAATTAATAATAATTTAATAT